CTCTTAAGGGGTCCCAGATTGGAAGGGGGCACAGGCTAGGCTGAGGGACCCCCCGCTTCCCACTGAGTGCACAAATTTTTGTGCACCGGGCCTTTAGTTGTCATAAAAGATCTCAAAGAACCTAACATGAGACCTCAGGAAACTAGAACCAAACAGGAAACCAAACCCAAAGGTTACAAAGGAAAGAAACCATAAATATTAGAACAACCATAAATAAAAGACAAGAAAAAAGAAAGGAATACCTAAAAGGTATATTTTTAAAAAGGATATGAAAATGTGCAAGACTTTAGCTACACTAAAGCAAAAACAAAACAAAAACCAAGACTCAAGTGAAAAAAAGAAATGAAAGATAAGAAATTACCCCTGTCACTATGAAGCACAAAGCATCATAAGAGATGCTGATGACGACATGACCCTCCACAGAGAAATTTGTCAAGATCTGACTATGAACTCCTGAAATTAATAAACAAGTTCAGAATCCTGTCCAGATAGCTTGGTGGTTGAGAGTGTGGCCCTGATGCCCCAAGGTTGTGGGTTTGATCCCCCATCAGGGCACATGTACGGGACAACCAATGAATGCATAGATGGGTACAACAGCACATCAATGCCTCACTCTCTTTGTTTCTCTATCTCCCTTCTTGTCTCTGAAATCAATAGATAAATGCTGCCCGGTATGTGTCACTGATTGAGCATTGACTCATTAACTAGGAGATCACAATTCAATTCCTTGTTAGGATACCTGCACTGATTGCGAGCTCAATCACCAATGGGGGTTGTGCAGGAGGCAGCTGATCAATGACTCTCTCCTTCTCATCACTCATGTTTTTCTCTCTCTTCTTCCTCTAGGACCATGGTGGGCAAACTGCGGCTCGCGAGCCACATGTGGATCTTTGGGCCCTTGAGTGTGGCTCTTCCACAAAATACCACGTGTGGGTGCGGACGTACAGTGCAATTGTAACTTTGTCGCCCATGCGCTGAAGTCAGTTTTCGATTTGGGTGAGTCTATTTTGAAGAAGTACTGTTGATATTTGGCTCTGTTGACTAATGAGTTTGCTGACCACTGCTCTAGGAAATAAAAAATACATATATTTAAATGAATAAATAAATCCAAGAATAAATAAATATCCCTAGCCACTGGGCTTCATTGATGACAGCGCTGGCTTGTGCACTAGAGGGCTAAGGTTTGATTCTCAGTCAAGGGTAGATACCTGGGTTCCAGGTCCCATCCTCACTCACAGTAGAGGCACATGTGAGAGGCAGCCAATTGATGCTTCTCTTTCTCTCTCTCTGTCTCCCACTCTCCCTAAAAAAAAAAAAAAAAAATCAGTGGAAAAAAATATCCTCACTATTTGGGTGAAGATGAAAAAAGAATAAAGAATTAAATTCAGAAAAGTTACAGGATGCAAAATAAACACACAACCATTAGTTCCATGTCTACAACCTAATAATAAATTCTTTGATGGAATAATGAAGAATGTAATCAAATTTACAAAAGAATCAAAAACAATAAAACCCAAAGGAATAAATCCAACCAAAATGTGAAACATCTGTACAGTGAGTACTATAAGACAGTGAAGAAAGCAATGAAAGAAAACCCAAATCAGTTGAAAGACAACCTGTGTTCATGGATCTGAAAATGAAATATGGTGGAGACAGCTATCGTACACAAGGAAAACTACAGATTAAATGCAATCCCACTACAGTACACAAAAAACTACAGATTAAATGCATACCCAATAACTCCAATGGTATTTTACAAAGAAATGAATAGAAAATCTAGAAATGGAACCAAAAGACCTCCATTAACAAAAGCAATCTTTTTTAAAAAAATATATTTTATTGATTTTTTACAAAGAGGAAGGGAAAGGGATAAAGAGTTAGAAACATCAATGAGAGAGAAACAACAATCAGCTGCCTGTTGAACACTCCCATAATGGGGATGTGCCTGGAACCAAGGTACCTGCCATTGACCAGAATCGAACCTGGGCCCCTTGATCCGCAGCCAATGCTCTATCCACTGACCCAAACCAGACAGGGCGACCAAGCAAATTTGAGCAAGAAGAAAGATGGTGGCATCACAATGTTTGACTTGAATTTATTACAAAGAGAAAGCAAACAAACTGTGTGTTGCTCAAGAAACACAGACCCATACATCAACAGAACAGAACAAAAAACACATAGAAATAAGCCCAGGCACATACTTTTAAGTAATATTTGACAAAGCAGTAGCCACAGAAGAAGGGAAAGATAGTTTCATCAATGAATGGTGCTGGCATAAATCGACATTCACGTGTAAAACAAAAAAACTGGACACCACTGATAAAATTTAACTGAACCTGTAGGAGAGAAATGAGTATCAATGCTAAAACTTAACACTCCTTAGGACAACCTAGAGAAGTTTTGGAGGTTTGTTTTGGACAGGAGTTTCTGAATGTGACACCAACCACCACACAAAATAGAAAACATAAACAGTCCACAATGCAACCAATAAATAAAAAATACCGTCTTCACTGAACAACAGCAATAAACGAAACGCAATGAAAGGCAACCCTTCCTCTCTGTAAGAAATAAAAAAAAGCAAAAAAAAACAAAACTTTACACTCCTTAGGACAACCTAGAGAAGTTTTGGAGGTTTGTTTTGGACAGGAGTTTCTGAATGTGACACCAACCGCCACACAAAAAAGAAAACATAAACAGTCCACAATGCAAACAATAAATAAAAATACCGTCTTCACTGTACAACAGCAATAAACGAAACGCAATGAAAGGCAATCTAGAAAACATAAGAAAATACTAACAAACCATATAAAGGAATCCCTTGGAGATATTGTGGATTCGGCTATGATCAGCACAAGAAAGCGAATATTGTGATATAGACAGAAATTCACACAAATAGTTGGAGTTCTCCAGTAATAATGAAGGTATGTTAAAAGTATACTGCAGGCTAATACCAATGCAGTGACTCTGCCTCAGAAGCAAAGTCTATATAACTTCATTTACAATATTTAATTGCTAAGCACTAATAACAAGCACCTGAGCTTGCTAGAAACATGGTGGCACTAGACCTGCCTGAATGCAGGGTTGCCAACATGGACGTTGTAGAAAAGTGTGTGTGGGGAGCAATATCTGCAAATATCTATTAAGCACATGCAAAAATATGTGTTCCTGTATGTCATAAGTAATTAATGTATAAAATCTACAAGGTATTCAAAACACTCTAATAAAAAAATACAGTTAATAAACAAGGATGTGGAGACAACTTTTTAAAAATATATACACGTGACCAATAGGAATATAGAAAATTCTTTTCTTACTAATCAAGGTGGAATCCTTTAAGCGTCCTACAATACTACCAACCACAAGTCCTTCCCTGTGAATTTAGTGCAGTGGGGAGTATTGGGACTTCAGGAATAGAAGGGAACAGCAGAAACAGACCAACCCTCCCCAGGACAGCAACTACCCAGGAAACTGGAAAAATCAAGCAGTACCACAGTCTACATGGGAAGACAGAGCACACCCTGGGGGATGGGGCCTGGGAAGGCTCAAAGCCAAGTCCAGGTCACTGGTGAGAGTGAGGGTCTTACCCAACGAGGATAGAAGTTCAAAGTTCTCCAGCATCACATTCAGGTACAGCTGTCTCTGACCCTCATGAAGGAGGCTCCATTCCTCCCTGGAGAAGTACAGGGCAATGTCCTCAAAGGTCACGCCAACCTGTCAGAATCAAAAGAATTGAAACTAGAGCAGCCTTTCTGAACCAGTAATTCTACTCCTTACACACCTTACCTGCCATCAACCTCCTCCAGGGCACTGGTAACTGTGGACACCAGGCCCTAATGACAGTGCAGGCTGCTCTCACATCACAGTCACATTACTCACTGTGATGGCCCTCAGCAGAGCAGTGGGTTTGGGTGGGAAGGTTTAACGGAGGGGAAAGAGGGGAGAGGAGATGAGAAATGGGAGGGGAGGGTAGAAGGCAATGGCATTTAAGGTCTGGGCAATGCCTGCAGGGCCCCAGCCTTCCTGCCAAGCAACACCACTGCAGTCTCCTAGATCCTGCCTCCAAGACAAAGCCAAGCGTGGGTTTATGCTTCACCTTTAAGTCCCCACACCAGGACCCGGAGACCATCAGCTCACAATTCCTCCAGATGTGCTCACCACTGGTTACTGTTCATCCCCTTCCCATGTTCAGACCCCAGGTCAAACCTCAGCTCTGCCCCCTTCCTGCTCCAATGCCACTCGATCTCGCTGGACTCAACCATGAACTTGGCATATGGCGTGTGGAGAGCTTGTAGTCCAGCCGGATCCAGGACCACCCCAGGCCCCTGATGGCCCCACAGCCGGGAAAGCCCCGAATGAGTCTGTGCCGTCCTCCCTGCAGCCTCTGCTCTTTCCGTCAATACTCACAGCCACATCCTCACGGACCTTCAGATGCAAGTCACCCCCGTCCTCTCTGCCCTGCACTTGCTGTGTCCTCAGAAGCCACAACACTCCTCCCTCCACTCCACCTCCCTCACGGTCCTCCACGCGGGACTGAGCTGCAGGACGGGACAGGCGCCCTCCCCAGGCTGTGGTGTGTGTGTGTGAGGAGGCGGTGAGGGCCTGGGGTCTGGCTTGGATTCGGGCGGTGACTCCGAGCTTCAATCCCAAGTGTGAGCTGTGACACCACTGGAGGCTCCCACCTTTGGCTGTGAGGCTGGGAGCACCGCTCTCCGGCCTTCTCCACGGGACTGAGCCCAACAGCTCGCGACTGCCTGAGACAAAAACGTGAAAAGACAAAATCCGCCAGGAGGACTACCGGTCCCGCCCTACAGAAGCGGCCAAACGGAAATGCCTTCTCTGAGCCCCCATTGGCTCAGCTTAGTGGCATTCCACGCTTGGCCTTGTGGGTAATGTAGTTTTTCCGCTTCAAGGGCAGGGTGGCATATGTCTCAGTTGACTCCAGGACTTGATTTAGGGTCAAAGAACCCAAGAACACACCAACTACACTAGGGATCCTCTAGAGCCTTCAGTGGAGGTGATATCAGGGGAAAGTGTTTTTCCACAACTTGCATGGCTGGTTTTCCATACCTTTCTTCAGGACCTGCTCTTTCTGAATGGCAGGCATTGTTTTTTCATTCAGGACATTTGAGATGTGTCTTCTTCAGGCCATATGTAGCTGAGGGAGGTGGCTCAATTCTCTAACTCGATCTAACCTGACTCCATTGAATTCATTATACAAAGTTCATGTCACAAAATAGACACTCGTACTTAAGAGCATCTGCTTCTGATGCCATCCAAAACGTCAGCTCTAGCCCTAGCTAGTTTGGCTCAGTAGATAGAGTGTCAGCCTGCGGATGGAAGAGTCCCTGGTTCGATTCTGGTCAAGGGCACATCCTTAGTTGCAGGCTCCTCCCCCCTGGGGGCCTGTGCAGTAGGCAGCCAATCAATGATTCCCTCTCATTATTGATGTTTCTATCTCTCTCTCCCTCTCCATTCCTCTCAGAAATCAATCAATATATATATTTTTTGAAAAAAGTGTCAGCTCTGCCTGGGCTGCAGTGTGGATAAGATGGCCAAGAATGCCAAAGCCGGTTTGGCTCAGTGGATAGAGTGTCGGCCTGCGGACTGAAGGGTCCCAGGTTCGATTCCGGTCAAGGGCATGTGCCTTGGTTGCGGGCACATCCCCAGTGGAGGGAGTGCAGGAGGCAACTGATCCATGTTTCTTTCTCATCAATGTTTCTAACTCTCTGCCCCTCTCCCTTCCTCTCTGTAAAAAATAAATATATATATATTTTTTTAAAAGCTTCTAGGTGCAGGTTTAGATGAAAATCATTCAATTGAATAGGCTGCAGTCTGGTCCAAGAGGAATTGGGTCACTGTTTCTGCAGAGAAACTGTTTCCCCTCAGTGCAATGGTCCTGAAACCAGTGCCCATCGCCCATGCAACTGTAGGCATTTTGGCACATGGCCCTTTGCAAGACCTGGACAGGAGGTTCCCTTCAAATGTCTTAGCATTCCTTGAAAACAAGGAAAAATTTCAAGTTGCTAGAAAACATACTTGAGGTAGTCAAAACTACCCCCTCTTTGGAGTGATCTCTGTGTCTCAAGGTATCCAGCTTCAAATGAGGACTAGAGAGACTACAGTGTTTCCTGGGAAATTATGGGCAGCAATATAAATTTGGCAAAAACTGCTGAGCCAATTTCTGCACCATAGTCTTCCCTCAAGGGCAAAAATGTTTGAAAAC